AAAACTCTTTCGATTCTAATTTTTAGTTAATAACCAAACACAGCACTAATAAACACACGCAAAATTATTGAAAAAGTTTTCAGGTGTCCAAAATGCACCAGCTAAAGGACTTATTGCACTAAATTTTCAATAAACATCTCGGAAAATAAAGCAGCAGCAAATTCAAAACACGTCAGTTTCAATGCACGGCCAACCTCGATCTCTTCACAACTGTGACAGTGCCCATTAAACACAAAATTGAGAGCCGGCGTAAAGCCCCGATGGGGACGTAATAAGGCCAAAGAACAAGACGAGAACTTAAACAATGCCTTTGGAATGGCCTAATAAAGTCAGAAGTTCAGTTGACGTTCTATAGGATCTATAGAAAGCAAAATTATCGAAAATCAAGTACTGTTAAAAATTGAATGGCAATTCACATCAGTTCAAACTATTCATGGTAAAATCCATAAGAAACACTCAAACTAATGAAAATATCTGCACTTTCTTTTGGGAACCGAATTTTGGAAAATATATTTCATTTAGATAATAATAATAGTAGAATTCAATTAATAACTCCCCGAGAAATATAATCTAAGGGAAGCTAGTATCAATTAAAGAAAATATTGTTGATCATGATGATCATGATATTTTCGAGTCAAAAATTGCCTTCAACGAATTTTTCTCCATTGTCGTCAGCAAGTCCTCATCAGTTGGCAACAAAAATGGAATGATGGTGATTTGGGAAGATGGTTACATTCTATTCTCCCACAGGTGTTGAACAAACCATGGTTCAAAGGGTTGGACATGAGCCGTGACTTTATACGCGTTATGTCAAGACTTATGTCCAATCACTGTTCGTCAGACTAGCACTTCTATCGGATTGGGCTCTCAGGCAGCAATTTATGTGCGTGTGGCAGTGGTTATCATGGTATCGAGCATATTGTTTGGTCATTAGACTGATGCAAAATTTAACTTTTTCGCTCCACAGTGCTTACATGGTTTCAAATCGGGTCCTGATTAGCCTCCCAAAGTTACAACTCATTTGGTTAGAAACAGACTTCGCACAAACCATTTTAAGTTTACATGTAAATTACTATGGGAAATCTCAACTGTTTGTTCATTGCCTTCTAGTCTTTTTCTATATTGAGCTACGAAACAGTTCGATAACCATTCTTATAGAAAATTTTCTCAGCTACAACTTTGCTGAAGATCGTTTCTAAGTAAAACGAGACAGGAAAAAGTTATTAATTATTTAAGAGATTGGTAAACTTATGAAATGATCAAGCAGCTGCTAAGTAGGCAACACTGTATTACAACAGGGTGACATAGTAGCCATGATGTTTGTGTCCTATTCAACGCCCCAGAAACACCAATGTTGCCTGCTGAGCAGTTGATTGAGCATGATCATAAGACATCAGCGCATTGAACCATTGATAACTTTCGATCCTTGCATTTAATCAAAAAGTGGTCTTCAGCAAAGTTGTAGCTGTAAAAATTTACTACAAGAACAAATGAAAATGTTTGAAGCAGACCGATATGGTGAATTATTAGATAGACATGAACAAAAATCTTGGTTTTACCACAGTAATTCCCATACAAGCTTCAAATGGTTTGTGCCATCTCAGTTTCTCACCAAATGGGTTCAAATTTTAAGTGGTTAGTCAGGATCCGATTTGGAATCGTTTAAGTATTGTGGAGTGAAAATTTCAAATTTTGCATCACTCTATTGGTCATGTACCCTACACCGTGTTGCCAGATCTGAGTTATCCAACAACCCGCGATACCCGTTAGAGATGTCTTGGCTAGCCGAGATTTCGACTATTTGAATTTAATTTATGTGTGTATAAAACAGATAGATCTGAGGATTTAGTATCTAGTGTCATCTTGTGTTTCCCAAGTTGTTAGCTGTCCATCGGGGTACCCCCATGTTTGTCTTTTTCATCGCTTAGTTCGAGATCAAGAGCCCATTGCTCCCGAAACCTTGTGTTCTCAATCCCTACCTTGCCATCCATTTGTTACAATTTGTTATCCCTAACCTCGAGATAGCCACGAGTTATCGGACCCCGCTTTACTAACGTTAGTTTTAAGTAATTTTGTTATCTAAGCAATGAATATCGGCTCCGCAAAGGTACAGCAAATGAGCCAGGAAAAATTAAATCATTATTTAAAAAAATATTTAGGACTCTGATAAATCTGAACCAATCTGAATCTCAAAAAATGTTCACATTGTTTATGATTATCCCTAGTGTTTACATTTCTCGACCATTTTTGGTTAACAGAGAAACAAATAATGGCTCGAACAAGTCAATTGCAATAGAAGATTTTTCACTGATGGATCACGCATTGATGGATCCACTGGCTTCGGCGTCTTCAATGAATACTCAACCGCCTTTCGGAAACTTCAGGAACCTTGTTCCGTTTATGTTGCTGAGCTAGCAGCAATCAACTTCGCATTGGGGATGATTTCCGATATGCCCATAGACCATTACTTCATCTTCTCGGATAGTCTCAGTTCGATTGAGGCTATTCGGTCGATGAAACAAGGTAGGCACTGATCTTATTTCCTTTCAAAGGTAAGGGAGCAGATGAGTTTGCTGGTCGAAAGATCATATATGATTACCTTTGTATGGGTCCCCTCACATTGCTCAATCCCAGGCAATGAGAAGGCAGACTCTTTCGCAAAGGTGGGCGCACAACAAGGTGAGATTTATGATAGAAGAATTTCACTTGATGAATGTTTCCCATTAGTACGTCAGAGTTCTCTTTTAAGTTGGCAAAACGATTGGACAAATAATTCTCTTGGGCGGTGGTTACATTCCATTATTCCAAATGTTTCTTCGAGAGCGTGGTTCAAAGGTCTGGATGTAAGTCGGGGATTCATTCGAGTGATGTCAAGACTTATGTCCAACCACTACTCGCTAGACGCACATCTCTATAGAATAAACCTCGTTGACAGCAGTATATGTAGGTGCAGAACCGGTTATGATGACATCGATCACGCAGTTTGGTATTGCCCGGGTATTGACGCCTCCAGAGCACGACTATTGGATACCCTAGTGGTCCGAGGTAGACAACCCTTCCGTGAAGTAAGAGATGTATTGGGAACACGTGATCTTCCCTACATGCAAGCGATCTACGAATTCGTTTGTTTGTCTGATGTTAGAGTTTGATGTGACTATCCCCTCCTTTCCAAACAATTTCCCGCCATTGTGTCCCAGTCTTATTATCCTCCTGTTCTTGTGCTACTTGCCCCTGCCCAGTCAGGATTTGGTCAACCGTCCGAGAGTAGTATCTGAAGGAGGCTTCAGAAACCAGTTTCCTACCTAGATCCTTCCATTTGAAATTGTTACCCATTAACCTCGAGCCCGCCACGAGTAATTGGTACCCAATACCAACCTAGAAATACTGCTATTTAAAATGTAAATCAAACATTACTGATTTTGGCTCCGCAAAGTGTCACACATGACTGAGCCTAGTAAATAAACGAACTAGTTAAAAAAAAATGGCTCTTTCAAAGAGTTCCCGATCAATCAATAAATACTGTTACTGAGCGATTCCAGACAAATTCGCTAATCCATTAATTTTTGCATTTTTTTTTTTTTTTTTTTTTTTTATTTGGCTGAATATTTTTTGAAACGCTTCTCATGACCAAAAATGCCATACTGCATCTTCAGATCACCTTAATTTTTTAAAGGGCCTATAAAAAAATGTTAACCTTTTCTTCAGAAAACTGTTATTCAAAAAATATGTATCCAATTGGTTTGGTACCTTGGGCAATGTTGTAGGGGACATCTAAAACTAGGGGAAATGGTTCTAATGTTGGGCCCATCGCTAAAAATCTGCTATTTATCAATTTTATCTAGATGAACGCGTCATTGGGACGATACTAATGGATATTTTTGGTTGCTATTGAAAATTTAGTCGATTGCTGAATTTATGTATGGGCCCAAATTAGGGGCTTTAGGGCCGACAGTACATCCACTTCCCCTATTTAGAAAAAATGCACTCTTAAATATATTCCTTTTTAAATTTAAAATAAAAAATGTAAAACATTTTTTCACAAAAAGGATTTTTCGTTTTATGTATTTTATTTTATTTTTAAATATCTTTTAGGGGACAATGAATGCCACCAATTGCTTTATAAGTCAAAATGATTGAAGTGATGGACAAAAAAGTAATGATTTTTGAAACAAAATAAGTTTTTGGAAAACTTGGTTCAAATATGTTTTCGACTTGATACATTGAAAGTACACCAAATTTACAAGAAAAAGGCACTTGAATACAATGTCAATGTCTCTCGACATCGATGTAAAATCACACATACATGAAAAATTCAATACAAATGATAGTAATATTAAATACTTTCATGTAAAATTTATATTTTTTGCTATATGTCTCAACTAAAGGCGAAAAAAACATGAATGTGCCAAATGTAAATTCATAAACTTTTTGCAATTTACACATGCTAAACTGATCTAGTTCAAACAAAAACTTCAAAGATTGTATCATACTGCCTGGAGGCCATTCGGATGAAAGCATGCAAAGTGACAAAAAATTGACAGTAGAGGTTTAAGTGAGCGAGTGAGATACCCCAGTTAATGGGCCCGGCGTAGTGGTTAGCATCAATGACTTTCACACTAAAGGTCACGAGATCATATATAATCACCGGACAAGTCACGAATGACCTAAAATCTGTTTAAGTAACTTTAATACCAAAAAACAAACTGCCTTTTTTAACATGGTCTTACTCGATTTTCTCCCTCGCTGGACGGACATCAAGGCTACTTCTCCCATACCTACATCTTTTGTATTTTCCTTCATAACTCGATGTTCTTCTCCTCCCTTAATAGACAGTCTCTTCAATATCAAGAATTAGAGAGTGGACTGTATATAAAAATATTTAACATCCCTTAATTTTCAAAGAAACAGTAACATAAACTTGGCAGTAGAACTTCTACAGTCGGAAAAAATTTACCCACAACTATATGATATGCGATCTACATCTAACAGTTCTCACTCACCTGTCGATCACTGTGCTCCCGAGCTAGGTACTACGCTTGTGCTGAACTGCCAAATCTAAATAACAACAATAAAACATTATAAACACCTTCTGCCTTCGGCACTTCCACTGACTGAGGCGGCGGCGGCGGGGAATAGTCGAATCGCTAACTCAGCACAAATCCAAGTCATTCACGCAGTAAAGGGAAAACCATCATCAGCCAGCAAACTACTGCTTCAGGCAATATAGGTATGTACGGACGCGAACAGCAGCACCGTCGATCGCATAATCACCACCAAATCCGTTTCCAAACGACAGTGAGTCGGTGTTTTTTTTTCTTCTGTTTAACTTGCTGCTACTGCTGCTATCATCCTTGAGGTTTTTGTTTTACGACGCCCAACGACGTAGCAAAAAAATCTTCTCCATCATCATCATTCATTCAAGCACCAGCACGCGCGCACGCTATGGAATTAGCGATTAGAACGGGGGCGTTGAAATCTTTCCCCAAAAAACAACAATGACCTCTCAATTCCAATTAGTCCGCTACAAATCCAAAATCCACTTCAATACGCACACACTTCCGACCGATTGTCAAGAGGCTCTTTCTTCACTGTTTTTTTTTTTTTTCATTCCCGGTCAGTTGAAATTTTTCTATTTTCCACAAGCACCACTGAAAGTAGCACTACTCCCCCTCGACCAACAGCCGAAATGTTCTTACGGGACCGAACGGAACAGGTGTTCACCGGTGTACCGTCTGTGCGCGTTGATCGTTCCCAACGCGACCGCGCGCTCGTGAAATGGCCACAACTGGCGTGGTTCTCTTCTACACTCTCGGTGACTGCGTGTGTGCTTCGCGAACCAGCTCGAAACCCGCACTGAGCGCTCAGTTGGTCGTCTTAGCTCTGCCAACCCCAGCAAACAGTCGGACGGCGGCGGTTGAACCACTTGAGCAGAACAACCTGGTGGTTGAGCCGAAATGGAATGCCAAGTGGTCTCTCTTTCTCCGTGGGCCTTCTGGTGGCTCGAAAAGCTCTTTAGCTCCTAGCTCGCTCAAGTGCTGGCGCAGCTCACAAAGTATTCCGCTCACCTGATACCTGTAAGTTATGCTCCCTCTCCGTCGGAGCGACCACATGTGATCGCTGGACGAGCATGCTTGTTGTGATTATGTTGAAGGGGGTTCTATAGCGTGAACAAGTAGTAGGCGATTCACCCTCGAAAGTATGTATCAGGTGCAAAAAGTGATGTATTGAAACGAGCTTATGGATTTATTTAAAAAAAAACTCAATACCTATATTATGTAAATTGCTGTGGTTTATGGGTGCAATTGAGTGTGATCAACGCTAGATATAGATTAACTGACTATGAAGATAGACATACGGTACACTATGGTGGATCAACTTTCCTGAATTTTAAATTGTGTGTGGGAAAACGTATGGGAAATGGAAATTTCGGACTTGGATTGAGAATACGATACAAAACAACTTTGTCGAGGACTGCCAATCGATTTGATCTTAGAACAAAAAGTTAATAATCTTTAACTTTAGACCAAATGTTCCACACGTTCCTACAAGCTCATATATACGGCTGTAGGTATGCGCGGATCAGTAGGTCTAAGTTAGAATAATAATAACTTTACTTCTCAGAAGTCTAATCGATTAACTGTCATGGTCAAAGTTGTTCTGCATAGTATTCTCAACTATTTTACAAGATTCCGTGAAATTTGAGCAATATTTGAATTTTTGGCAAGCAAATGAATAGGTTCGTTTCGTCTCCCATACAAAATTTAAAATTCTCCCGCATATCCAGATCCAAATTCGTTCATGACACCGTTGTTGGGGACTTCAATACACATTGGACATCGGACACCAGTTAGCTGGCGCCGTCGATGTAGTGGTAAGCGTGACTGTTTTCTCACCCCAATTGGTCTGGGTTCAATCTCAGCCGAGGTCAGTGGGATTTTTCTGAGGCATAAAAATCTCGGGTCACGTCTTCCTTCGGAAGGGAAGTAAAGCTGTTGGTCCCGGCCCATGTGTGTAGATGAATGGGTGCGATATCCTACGTAGGTGTGGAAACTGCCTTTGTGCACATTCGATTGCCTTCAATGGATGGCAATCGATGTCCGTCAGTGATTGGCACTAGCTTGCGGAACAGAATTTATTTATTTCGTCAAGCAAAGTAGACTACATACAATGGTTACAATGTTTTACTTACATACTATGCATTATTTCTATTATGTTTTAGTTGGGTTTTAATTTCTTCTTTTGACATAGTGATGCTAATGACTTCACAGTGTAGATTATACTGTCGTATCATTCGATTAAAGGGGCCATTTTTTGCGTAATTTGTTCTGTGTAATTTTTCTGAGAACAATTTTCGTGTTCTTAGATGCCGACAGGGTGTGTAGAAATTTAATTGTGAAAGTATTTCTGATGATTCTATGCGATATGAAATAATGTCATTGATGAAGAAAAGCATTGCAAATTCGCGGCGTTCTTTGAGTGTTTGTAAGTTGATGAACATGCAGCGTGCTTCATATGATGGAGAGGAAATGCGGTTCAATTCAACCTACGAAGGGCATTTAAAAGGAATTGTTTTTGGACGGATTCTATGCGTTTCTCGTGTATGGCAATGTACGGATTCCATACTAGGTTTCAGTATTCCCAAATAGGTCTTTCGTATGTAATATATAATAATTTAATAGTGTTTGGGTCTTGAAAATTATAGCTGAACCTCTTAATCAAGCCCAACATACTATTTGCTTTCGTTATGATTGTATTATAGTGTTCTACAAAAATGAGTTTGGAGTCTAGGATCACACTTAAGTACCTTAAAAATTTTTTTTTTTACTTTTAGGTTGCCTAAAAATATTTAAAAAAGAGGTGTTTCTATTTTTCTGCTAAATACAATTGCGTTGCATTTTTTTACATTGAGTTTGAGTAGAATTTTACTACACCAAGTGTTGAATAAGTTGATTTCATTCTGAAATTCTTCTGTGTCGCTAGAATTACTTATTCTCATGAATAGCTTCATGTCGTCTGCATATATAAGAACTTTTATTTTTTAAGTATGTACACACTAAGATTATTTTACCAAAATCGCTCAACAGCTGAACGTTCGGTTAACAGTTCGATGATTTTTCACTATCACCTTTTCGAAAGTGGTATTGGTTTCCGAGGGCGTACTTTGGTTCGCCTGTAAAGGGCCCTAGAAAGTTTGTTTACAAATGCTTTTGTGCCGTTATCAAATGTTATGCCTGATATGGAATATTGCATGACATGTCTCAAAAATTTACACGATCTATAATTTAAACAAGTTATATACAATACAAGTATGATATATGACGCTCCATTTATGTGCGTCATAGTAACGGAAAATTTACATTACTTTTTTTGAGCTGTGTAGCTAATGGTGGTGCCAATAGGTGCAGACCTCCTCCAGAATTGTAAAGCTCCCTCCCCTCCCCACGTTTTCAAGTCTACAAATTGGTCAAGAGTTAGAAATTTTTCTTTAATCTCAGGGAACTTCGTAAATCTTCAAGGACTTCTAAGAAGTTCAGGGAACATCGTAGAAATTAACAAAACTTAGTAGAAATTCTGGGAACTTCATAGAGCTTCAGGTAAACTCTTAGAAACTCAGGGAGCTTTGGAAAAGATCAAAAAACTACGTAGAAGTGGGAACTCTCATATAATTTTAGGATTCTTTTTTGAAGCTTCATAAGCTTGGAAACGTACGTGGAACTTCGCGGAAAATCAACGAGAAACGTACAAGTTTTCCGAATTTCGTAGCATATTGAGGAGCTGCATAAAGCTTCATATAAGTGCAGGGTATTTTGTAGAAGATCTAAAAATAGTTCAGCAAACTTCTAAGATATCCAGGGATCCTTGATTTAGCTTCGGGAACTTCGGTGCAGTTTGTCAGATATCTTTCTCCAAAAAATCTCAATGAAGTTCTTAGAAGTTTTGGACCTTCGTTAAATTTCAAGGAATTTTGCAAATATACAAGAATGTTTGTAGACGATGGAGGTCTTTCCAGAAGTTCAAAGATGTTCAAAGATCTTCATTAAATTAAGAGCGATGGAAAAAAAAATATGGAATTTGGAATAAAATCAGAGAACTTCGTAGAAGTTGAGGAAATTTTGTACAGAGATGGACTAGAAACTCAGAGTGGTGCAAAACATACTTGTGCTGCTCTCAAATATGGGAGCGTGTATCCTATCTTTGATAGGAGAATGAGTCAAATGAGAGAGAGAATTCATATCTGGGTGAGAGCAGTTGCACTGCACGGGTGTTACTTGCGTATAACACAATCGAGTAGTGCACTATGTGTTGACGGGAGAAGCACTTTTCGATCGGAGGAGACGTGGTTAAGAGACGACAGGAAAGACTATGGACGATAGGCTGGGCGCAAAATATAGACAATCATGAAAAATATGTTGTGGTGGCTTTATGGTGCCTAATAGTGTGGCCATACCAAATTATGTGTTTCTACTAATGTGGTCTTTTGCTCATTTAATTCTTGTTGCGTGGTTAGTTTAGCTTCTTGCGGTAAATAGCAGAGAACTTCAATCCATCTACCAAATGCCAGTCGAAAGTTGGGATGGTTTTAAAGCTGTTAAACTGTAGTTTTGCATACAGAACAGCATCAGCAATTAAATTAAAGGTTGTTTGACACATTTTCACCTATAATGACTAGGCTTGCTGAGGTCCCACTGTTTCTCTTCACCTGCACACGTATCCGAAGTGGGAAATTAACAAGGGGTAGGTCGCTCCGCACACCAATCTTGGGTCATCTTTTTTTTTTTCAGTGTGCCGAAAGTGTGCCGTAGGTGTACAGATTGTGCCGGTCATAGAGCAAGCTGCGATTGTTTGTAAATTACCCATCCCGGCAACCCGATATGTCTGAAACCTTGAATGTTTTGGTTTGAAATCGCAAGGATAAATCGGATTGAGGATGACGCGGGAAGTGGTGTGCTGTGAAAAACAACGGTCTATCAGCGGCAGGAAACTACTACGACTATACATATAGGATGACGAATAGACTTCTGTAGTTTGTTTTGTGTAAGTTGTATCATTACGTGAATTAAGGGTGTTAATAGGGTCTGAATAACTGCATCTTTCTCTTGAGCCCACTTTAGAACCTTCATTTTGTATTTAGATCTATAAGTGAACCT